TCTTCCCATGTTTTTGGTCTCTTCCAGTAGACTGTGCCTTCCTTGTAGCAGGACCACGTGTTTCAGTTCTTGGAATGTGGCTCAGAGTGAGGGCAGTCATATTTCAAAGCCAAACTATCAGCTTTCGTCCAGCAGAACACTGAAGAGAAATGGTCACTGTGTCCTAGTGCCTCTCCTGGGCGTGGGCCACAGCAGCCACGCAGCCAGCGTGTGGGATGGACGACTCCTGCGTGCTCCTCCTCGGACTCTCTGTGCCACGTGTGGCCACCGCCACGTGGGCACCACACAAGCCGTGAACTGTGTGACTCCGGTTGCTGATGGATAGCTTTTTTGTTGTATCATTTTCCCAAAGAACAAGACCATTGCAGAGCGTAGCGTCGTTCAACGACTCGTGAACTACGCTATTCATCCTGCAACTGGCGGCTTTGTGGCCGCTTTACACGCTCCATGGACAGAATGGGGACGCTTCATTCACAAATGGCACCAAGTGTCCAAATCCACTTTATTTCTGTTGGAGGCAAGCTGTCTAGGGTCACCGCCAGGCACCGTGGAGACGCTTCTGTCAGGGCCCGACACCTTCCGTGAGGGTCTCCGAGCCATGCGGCAGGCCCTGGTTAGCCGGGCCACCTTGCCCTTCCTGGAGAGGACGGGCCTGCAGACCACCGCTCCCCGAAGGACACCCTCGACCCTCGCTCTTCTGAGCACGGGGCCTCGCGTTCACAGGACAAGGCCCTGTGAGCTCCGCTCCTGCCCCCCACTCCCCCAGGGACTAAATCCAAGCTCCGAGCTTCGGAGTCACTTTGTCCATTTTTCCGGGGAGCGGAAGCCGCAGAGCAACCACCCTCGGCCAGGAGTTTCTGCGTTACGGCCCCCAAGGGCTCCACGGGAGAGACATGGGGACACTGGGGCCAGCGGGACCTGAGTGAGGACGACGGCAAACGGTCTTGGCAGGAACCCTTCATGTGTTCTGTGTGCACGTGTGCATGTATGTGTGTGCATGTTTATGTGTGTGCACGCATGTGTGTGATGTGTGCACGTGCATCTGTGTGCATCTGTGTATGTGTGTGCATGTATGTGTGGTATGTGTGTATTTGTGTGCATGTGTGTATGTGTGGCGTGTGCATGTGCATGCATGTGTGCACGCGTGTGTGCACGTGTGCGTGCATGTGTGTATGTGTGTGCACGTGTGTGCCTGTGTGTGTGTGTGTGCGCAACACTAAGAAGGCAGAGCTCAGTTACACTCTGTCCTCTGACACTTACTTTTTAAAAGATCTGGCATGTTCCAAAAGCTGGCACATGAGAACTGACAGGGCCACTGGCCACTTTTCATAAACGAGTGTCCTTTGCGTCACTTTTAGAGCAGGAGTTGGCAAACTCTGGGCCCTGGACCTAATCCAGTCCGTTTTGTGAGTGAGGCTTTGTGGCTGCGGCCGCAGCGTCCCTAGAGTGTGTCAAATCACGAGTCAAACCAGCACGCCTGGCTGCCCCCAGCCCACGCCGTCCTCCCGAGCTGCCTTCTCCCAGCATCTTGTCAGAGCCCAGCCCCTGGCGAGGCTGCCGGCTGCCCCGTGTCCTCTCCAGGGTTTCCGTGGGTCCCTGAGACGTGCCAACCTCCTCCTTTCCTCTGCAGGGGGTGGGGTGCGGTGAAGGGTGGCTGTCCCTGCAGGCAGCTGTCCTCGTCCCACACTGCTGAGCACCCCGAACGGACGGCCCTCCCCACACCACCCACCCAGACCCTGGAGCACACTGCTGGGTGACAGAGGGAGAAGTGGGGCAAAGATGCGGAAAAACTCAAAGTGGGATTCTCTGCTGGTGAATGTCACTGACTGTCCCCACCCCACGGAGCTCCTTCTCCCCTGTGCATTGACCTGGGGGGTATATTGATATGTTTCTTTCTACCGTCTGTCATCTACCTACCTGTCTATCGACCAAGCACTCTGTAGTCCGTCCATCCATCACCCATCTGTCATCCATCCGTCCGTTCATCCACACATACGTACATACATAGTGGTGAGGGACGGATATACAAACTGCATATACCCAGATATGTAAATTGCATATATAAATCACATATATATATTTCTCTTTTCATTATTTAAATGATTTTTTTTATAAACTAGCCCAGGACTTTTGTATAACTGAAGGTCTGCTATTTTCTTAAACTAATGATCATTCTCCTTTCTAGAAAATTCTGCTCTACTCTTTCCCGGTCCACCAACCCTGCTGCCACAGAAATGATGACATCCGGCACACTCACTTTCTCTGTAAATGTCATCTGTTGAGTTCCCTCACGTGTAAAAGGAGCTGTCGCTGGGACGCAGAGCGGCAGAGGGAGGTGGTCCCGGCGCAGTGCCCGCCCCGGCATGGCCTCGACACAGAGCGCTGAAGGAACGAATGAATGAGTGAGTGAATGAATGAATGAACGAATGAGCGAGTGGGCTCCGGTGTGCAGAGGCGTCTGGGGCAAGGCAGGCGGGTAGGACCGAGCAGATTTTAGGACGGCAGCTGTCCCCGTCCAGGGTCATGGTTTGCAGGCCCTTGCACACGGCGATGCTCAGAAAACAGGAAACATCCGCCCCATCCCTGCGCTTCCCCCGCAGCTCCGTGAACACGGCCGCGTGCACACGCCGCCCCGCTGGCTGTCCCAGCGGGTTTCCATCCGGCTACTAGGTGGTCGTTTTCCGGGCTGATCGCATTTGCTGCTACTGGCTTATGCTTTCAGCCTCTCCAGAGCCCCAGTTCATGATTCACGCGGTGTGTGGATGGCGTTAAAATCAAATGAACCAATTTCAACTTTTCACCTCATCAGAAACTTCCCGCGACAAGCAGGAATTAAAATACTGCATCACCGGCCCACGCACCCCGGGGCCTCTGAGACCTGGCCCTGCCCGCGACGTGGCCCTGCCCGCGACGTGGCCCTGACTGTGACGTGGCCCTGCCCCACTTGTGCCCTGGGGCCTGCACAGTGACTCCTGCCTACTCCTCTCCTCAACAACGGTTTTGAGATTGAAGTAAATTCTTTATTTCAATAAAGAATTGAAATATAAGCCCAGAAAATATAAGCCCAATGGACCCAACGAACTCCAGTAGACGGGATAACAGCAGTCACAGCCGGCCTCGGGGACGTGAACACGCTGCTCTCAGCAAGACGCGCTTCGCCTCGTTTAACCCTCCCAGCACCGTGAGGCAGGTCATACCGGCCCCATTCGGTGGGTGGGGAAACCGAGGCACAGAGGGATGGAGGCACTGTCCGTGACTGCAAGCCGGTGAGGGGTGGAGTCGCATCCAGACCAGGCAGGCTGGTGTCACTATCACTCTCCCAAGATCCTGACTTGTTGACATTTCCACCCATCAGGTATTTGTGCAGGTCTGGAGACACCCACGGCATGTCCGCCTTCGAGACGGCTGGGCTGTGGCCATCGGTGGGCCAGCGCCCCACAGACCCACCACGGTGGGACGGTGAGGGCCTCCCTGCAGGTCCCGGTGGTTCATCTCAGGACCTGCACCAGCGGAGGGACGTGGCCTCTCGGTGCCTCAGGGCCTCTGTCTGTACCATGGGCTTGGTGACAGCACAGTCTCGGGCCGTGGGCAAGACTGAGGCCAGGTGCACAGTGTTCTCGGGACCACGTTCTCGGGACCACGCCGGGTCACTGGTGGGGTTGGGGGCCTCTGGCAGCTGACAGAGGCCGGGGCTGTGACGTCTCTCGTGATCCATTTCAATGCCAGCCACAGAGTAGAAATTTTGCTGCTAAAAATTTAATTTCAAACTAAGCCTTATGAAAAGCATCTCAAACTTCATACCCCCGAGGCTACTCCTGGTAAGGCAGTGTGGTTTTATTAGTTAGTAGGCTATTTAAAATAGTTTTTTTTTGTTTTTTTTTTTTAACTAATTCTGATAGGAAAGGGCTGAGACGGCCAGTTAAATTTTGTCTCCTGAGTCAAAATCCTTGACGTCTCCTAGACTTCCTCCTCCTGTCGTGCTCGGAGACCTGCCAGGGGACAAGGCTTCGAGGAGGGGATTTGGGAAGCCGGGGTCCCAGCTGGCCGGAGGGGGCTGCAAGTGACGGGCCCCCAGGGCCGGGAGAAGCAGAGGAGAAGCCACTCAGGGCAGAGGCACAGAGCAGGGCGCGAGGGCTGCGCAGACACTCCCGGGAGACACAGGGGAGACCACAGGGGAGACCACAGGGCCCGGGTCTGCCGCGCGCAGTGAGCACACCTGCAGGAAGCGAGAGATGCCGACGGGGCAGGTACCTCTCTTCCTTGGCTGCGATAATCCCAGTCCCCGGGCAGCTCCTTGCAACTCATGGTCTTCGACCGCTCATCAGTCCTGGTCGCGTTCTTCCTGTTGCCTTTCGTCGGTGGCTGAACAGTGGGCTCCAGGGCTAGAGTAGAGCACCTCATGCCACATGGCACGGAGGAGGCGGCCACAGCTTTCTTGGCTGTGGACCTTGTTTCACGTGACGCGAGCTGGCAGGCGACCCCTCATGACGCTGGAAGCCGCGTGTCGCGAGGACGCAGATAGAGTTTGCGTTCAGTGGGCACCTTCATTTTTTCGTTTGTTTGTTGCTATTGATTTTGTCTTCTCTATCCTGTTATTATCCACAGACTTTTGGAATTAAGTATGCACTTTGCTAAGTTTTCCTTAAATTCTATCCATCATTCAACCTGTCAAGATCCTTAGCTCCCGGCTGGGCGCGGTGGCTCACGCCTGTAATCCTAGCTCTCTGGGAGGCCTAGGCGGGCGGATTGTTTGAGCTCAGGAGTTCGAAACCAGCCTGAGCAAGAGCGAGACCCTGTCTCTACTAAAAATAGAAAGAAATTAATCGGACAACTAAAAATATATAGAAAAAATTAGCCGGGCATGGTGGCGCATGCCTATAGTCGCAGCTACTCGGGAGGCTGAGGCAGAAGGATCGCTTGAGCCCAGGAGTGTGAGGTTGCTGTGAGCTAGGATGTCACCACAGCACACTAGCCCAGGCAACACAGTGAGACTTTGTTTCAAAAAAAAAAAAAAAAAAAAAAGATCCTTAGCTCCCTAAAAGCAGAGACGACACCTAACACACCTTTGTGTTCCCGGGAAGAGGCCTTGCGAATATGAACATGTTAAAAACTATTCCTGGAAAGTATAAAACCCTGCACCAAATCACCTCTTGTGAACCTCACTTGGTTTTTATCCACTTAGAAGGGGGCAGATTTTGAAGACCACTTGAGGGACGTGCGTCCTGTGTCAGCTGAAGACAGACGTCTGCCCCTCACTCCACTGTTCCTCCCGGTGGCCTCAGGGAAGTGACCTCGGTGTCCTCTCCGTGACATGAGGCTCATCTCGGCCTGGACTCCACCTCCCTCCTCTAATCGCCGTTTGCCGTGAGTCCAAGTCACCATTTCCTTGGCAGGGACGAGGTCCCGGAGGCGCCCCTGGTGCTGCTGGGTCAGGACCTCCTCTCCCCGTCGGGTCTGCACGGAGCAGGGCTCTGCCTGGGAACCAGCCCCAAATCCACGTGTTTCTCAAATGGCCCTGGAGCAACTCTTTGGGAATTTTTCTGAGTCATTTTCAGGACAAATGTGTTAAAATCCATTCAAAACCTGCGAAAACAGCCATAGATGCAATTAACCTTTTTCATATTTCGATTTTCTAAGTTCAATTCTCAGCAAAGTAATATTTTCAAGACTTTTACAAAGAGAAAAACTATATGCACACGTACATCCATGCAGCTCACTCTGCCGGCTTCGGGGCTCCAGATGGTCTCGGGGAGGAGAGGACATCGGACTTTGAATCAGGTTCAGAGTTTGAGACTACCCTAGACTGGATGTTCACATTTCGAAACTGAGACAGGGTTGTGATTTAAAGCCACTGTAGGGCCTTCTGTTACCTAAGAGGGACAGAGAATTCATGAGCCTGAGTTTTCGTCAGGAGCAGGTACGACAGTCCTGCTGAATAGTGTTTAGAGGGACAGCAGGAGACTGAAGCTGAAGTTTTGTTTGATTACCTCGAGAATTCTTGCCAAACATGCTGTTTGCTTGTGTCTACTGTATGCTAGACTGTAACACACCTACGAGGAAACAGCCTTAATTTTCACAGTAGCTGCCATAGTCCGTTTCTTCTGTTGCTGTAATATAACCAAATACCCAAGACTATATAATTTATAAAGAAAAGAAATTTATTTCTGAAAGTTGTGGAGGAGGAGAAGTCCAAGGCTGAGGGTCTGTATCTGGGGAGAGACTTCTTGCTGGTCGGGACTCTGCAGAGCCCTGGGGTGGTGCAGGGAGTCCCATGGCCAGGGTCACGAGAAAGTCAAACTGGCTTCTATAACTGACCCGCTCCGTGATAACTGACCCACCACTGTGTTAACTGACCCACTCCGTGATAACTGACCCACTCTGTGATAACTGACCCACTCTGTGATAACTGACCCAGGCTGTGATAACCCATCTGGTAATGAGCCAGCCCAGGAATCCATGAGCCCATGAGTGGATTAACCCGTTTACAAGGCGACACCCTCATGACCCGCCCCCTCACGATGCTGCTGACTCTCAGTGTGGGGTCAGGTTTCAACGTCAGTTCCAGAGGCACAAACATTCAAACCGCAGCAGTAACCTATAAAGACGTTATAATAATTTTTATTTTGCAAATGAGGAAAGGCTCCAAAAGATTAAGTTTCTTGTCCCAAAAAGGAAGTTGATACTTACTGAGTGCCTACTGTTTGCTGGGCTCTATACTTACTCTCATTCGGTGTCTAAAGATAATTTTAGCCCTAGATATTATCATTTGGACTTTATGGATGAGAAATTCCAAGATCAAAGATTTGGATTAATTAAATAACTTCCCTGACATTATATTGCAAGTGAATACTGGAACCCATGTTTGTGTGTGGCCTAAATTCCCCCTACTCTGCTGTCTCTCTATGGAAAGATAATCTTTCCGACATACCCAACTGTGCCTCTAAATATACTTTCTATCTGTCTGAGATGAGGTGGAGATTTTTAGTAATGAAAGATTCTCAGTGAGTATTTTATACAAGGAAAGCAGCCAGAATAAGAGAAAAACTATAATTCTAGGTTTCTCGGAGTATTTTTCTTTGTGAAGGTTTAGGAACATTTGGAAACTTCTGGATCCTCCACCCTTTGCAGAGAAGCTGAGTTTACCTGTGAGGCGGAACCAGAAGCCCATCAGGTACCATGGCCGGCAGGCCGGATGGTGCGGAACTCAAAGAAGAAATTATAATTAAAAGAGACAATATCACTAAAGTTTGAGAATTCTACAAATAAAAGAGAGTTTCAGATATTTTTATGGCTGCCATTGTATGAATCTTTGGAAATAGGATATAGTGATTTTATATGTATGTTTTCAAGTTCTAGGGGTGATTTGTTTTTAAAATATAACTTTAAATTATAGGGACGAGGCCACATGAAACCCCAGAATATATGTGGGTTCCGTGAAAATGCCATGGAGGAAAGGTTATGTGCAGGGAGTGGCCTCGGGTGACGCAGCGCCCAGACTCTGACACGAGGGCCTGGTCAGGGACGTGAGGAACAAGTCCCTTTCTTTACTGTGAGAACCTGGCTGAAAGTACAAAGGGTTTGTTTCTGATGGATTTAGGAAAACGAGAGCCGCAGATTTTTCTTTATGTATACGGATCCACATCACTGTTGTGCTTCTTTGACTAAAAACGAATATAATTTTGTTGGAAAAATGAGAAAATCAGAAAAGTTGACTTTTCTGATGACTTCTAGCCATGTCGAAGCAACTGGTACCAGACTCGTCCCCCAGGATAAAAGACTAAGACGCTGAAGGACACACACGAAGGGGCTGTTCTCAGACAGGGGACGATAGGACCGTCGCCGTGACAGGGTGAGAATGAGGAGAAGATTGAGATCATTTGGGCTTTCTAGTTTTCGGATTGCACCCCGGGGAGAAGGGGCCCAGGCAGAGCATCGGCCTTACTGAGCTGGGAAGACAGAGGTGGGAACTGCGGAGGCTGGGGTGCCTGGAGTCCGCAGAGAACAGGCTAGGGAACGATGTAGAGAGAAAAATTCCAGAAATCTCGTAAGCACATCCTTGGGTCTGCTGTCGAATGCCAACTATGTACGCATAGGAGACCAGGGAGCCGTGCACTGAGAACCTCCCAGAGCACACACCTGATTCCGTCAAGCTGGAGCAAAGAGACCTCATTGAAAAACTCAAGACATTTGCTAAAGACCCTAAAGGGGTCATCCCTTAGGCGAGGAGCTCAACTAGTCCTAGAACAAAAGCTACTCTAGACCTGCCCCAGTAAACCTTAAACCAAGCCTCAAAAGGATGGAGTCGATAAGCAAGTTACCCAAATTCCTACCAAGCAAAGTACAACAGTCTGTAAAGGAGGATAATAAAATCCAGGTGTTCAACAGCATAACACCGCGATGGTCAGCGTCCAAGCACAAGTTAATAGACGTGAAGAAGCAGGGAGAAAATGGGACTTGGGAGAAAAGCTGGTCAACACACACACCTGGAAATGGAAGAGATGATGGAATTAATAGATGAGTACTTTAAAGCAACTATCATAAATATACTTAATGACTGAAAGGAACATTTTGAACGTAATACTCGGAAAAAATAAAATACATGAAGAACCAAATATAACTTCCAGAGTCACGTTATACGTATTATCTGAATGGAACAGTCACTGATGGCCTTCACAGCAGACCAAATGCTGCAGAAACAAAGACCACTCAGTTTGAAGACATGTAACAGAATCTATCTGAAATGAAGCATAGTTAGAAAAAGTATTTAAAAAATGAGCAGAACCTCAATGACCTAAGGTACAATAACAGGCTAATATAAATACCTATAAACCGAACACCAAATTGGAGTCCCAGAAAGGTGGCAGAAAATGTTTTGAAGAATAATGATCAAAAGTTTTCCAAATTGATCAAAACCAGAAACTCTCAAGTCCAAGAAACTCAAAATACTCAAACAATATAAATGAAAATAAAACCATATTAAAGCACATCATAAGCAAATTTCTAAAAACTAGTGATACGGGAAAACCAAGGATTTCGTTAAAAACTAATGATACCATAAAAGCGGCCAAAAAAAAACCAAGAAGACCCATTACACGTTGCAGAACTAAGCCAAGGGTCACCGCGGCCTCCAGTCAGGAACAGCAGCGCCGGGACACGGTGGACGGGCGTCTCCGAAGTGCTGAAGGGAAAAAGAAAACATCAACCTAGAATTCTGTGTCCTGTGAAAATAACCTTTTAAGATCAAGGCTAATTAAACTTATTTTCAGAAGCACAGAAGTCGAGGTGACTTATCACGAACAGACGAGATCTCCAGGAAATGGCGAAGGGCGGGCTTCGGCCGTGGGAGCGTTGAGCGGGTGGAGACCCGGACGGTGCGGGGAGCGTGGGGACGTGGGTGCCCGCGGCGGACTTTCCCTCTCGTTTCAAATGACCACGGAATGGAATCGAAGGCCAACAGCTGCAGCGAAGGTGCATTTGGGGGCTGGTGACACACAGAGTGAGAGGTGAGGGAGCAGTGGCCGGGCCTGCGCGGGCCCCGGTCCCCAGCCGAGATGGCGAGCTGCGCCCTGCCGTGTACCCCCAGCCCTGAGCAGCCCCCGGTTTGCCAAGGCTGGAGGAGTCCCGCTGCTGTGGGCATCGACTTTTCTTCATGAGAAGTTCCAGGACTAAATCAAATCTGGAAGACAATTTTAATTGAAGCTGTACAGTCTTCTGTTTCTTTAATGACCGAGTATTCCTTACCCAACAGGAGCACAATAAAATTTAAAACTTTAGCTTGGACAAAACCACTCGCGACCCCTGGCCCCTGCAGGCAGGAGGACACCCCTGCAGGTCGCTGGACAGGTTCACCTGCTTGGCACCGGCAGCCAAATACCTTACTGAGCTCCAGTCGCTCTCAGGGGCCAGGGAAAAGTGTGCGTTTTCCTCCCCCACGTAGAACAGGGTGTTCGGGGGTGGTGAAGTGTTCGCAAACCCAGGCGCCTGCACTCTGATTACTGAAACGTTAACGCCACTCAATTCCTTCCCGCATGTCTTTGAGTTGTTTGTTAAACTGTCTTTTGTCACCAACTCTGATCCAAAGGCATTTTTATCGGGCCTTCGCTGGGGGCACGGAGGAGCCGGCTGTCCGGTGAACTGTCCTGTAGCAACACCGACCTTCCGAGAACTGCCGAGCCCGGCCCCCGCTCCGGCCTTCACCGTTTACTGCCGAGCTGGAGCTGGCGGGCATCACGGACTTGGATGAGGTTCCTCTTTGCACTGACTGCCATAATTTGCAGTTAAGCTCAGCGGGTTCATCTGTCCACAGGATTCACACTCGCCAATCCATCATACAGCAGCTGAGTCCGCAGGGACCCTGGCACCCGTATGCCTGGGTTGAGTCCTGACTCTGCCACTCACTAGCTGTGTGACCCTGGACAAGTTCCTTAACCGCCCTGTGCCTTGCTTTCCCCACTTGTGCAGCAGAGGATGTCTATATCTTCTCACAGGACTGTGTGGTGAGGATGAATAAACTCACACCCGTGGTGCACGTGGAAGGGGCCCCACGGTAGGTGCTCACTGTGTCTGAGAAGCTCCTGCCCCGGGGAGGCTGTGTGTTTCTTCCAGAGCACGGTGGAAGGAATCGCGTTTTATAACTGAACTGAGAGCCGCCGAGTGGGCGCTCGATGACTCTCAGATGAGTGAAGGAAGCAGCTTAGTCTTCTGTTCCCCGAATGCGCACACAGCCTTTCTCACACTTGACTTTGACACTCACACTCACACAGGGAGGACTCTGGGCCCAGCGTGGGGCGGGGTGTGGGGCAGCCCCTGGCGGTACCAGCCGGGGCTCCCGCACACATCACGGGGAGACTGGCTCAGAGACGCTCCTGCAGGACCCCCGCTTGGTTCTCTTCTGAGAACACGCGGCGTGGCGGGGAGGACGGGGCGTGGGAAGCGGCCTTTCCAACACGCACAACAAGGAAAGGCCCCGCACTGCCGCAGGCTCTGGACGGCGGGCGGCCCTGCTGTGCGCTGTCTGCCCCGAGTCCTCCGCAGGTGAGGAGGAGAGCTCCAAAGTCGGGGTGAGGGCAGGGCTCAGAGGAGCTATGTGTGGGAAGAATCCAGAACGCCCTGTGCAACGTGGTCCCCAAATTCGGGGAGCCCTGAGAGGGGCCTCGCTGCAGAGTCAGGGTGGGGGAGAACCGGCACTGTGGTGCCCACCTCCTAGGGGCTCCCGCTCAAGGGGCCTGCACTGCCCACACCCAGAGCTGTCAGGGGCTCCCTGCCCCAGCCCAGCGCCCCCACCTGACTCCACGACCCTCCCTGACCTTGGCTGGGGAGGGAGCAGACGCCCCATGGTCTGCCAGCTCCTGTTGCCTGTGCGGTCCCCTCATTCCAGCTGGTCCTGGGGACGCTGCCCAGAGTGTAGGGGTGGAGGGTGTGGGTCACCTCTGTGGGGGGACTCTGCCCTTGGCCAGCCCCCTGTGTCCTCCCTCTCCTCCCGCTGGCCTGAACACACGGTGTCCACATCTCTCGCTCTGGGCCCATCTTAGACCTGCCTCTCGGTCAGACTGAGTGGGCCCAGCACGGAGTCAGAAGGTCGAAAGACTTCATGAAGCAGGTGGCCACTTCTCTGAGCCAGGCTGGGGCCGAGGGCCTTGCTGGGGACAGCGCAGAGTCCAAGGGGCCTGGGGCGCACAGGCCGCCCCACCCACGGCACAGGGCGGGGAGGAGACCCGGAGGGCCCACCCGTCCTACGGATCTTAGAAGCAGGAAGTTCAATATGGATGTGAGTTGTTATTTATCATTATAAGAAATAACTATTTCCTAAGTGATGGCTCTTAGGTGAGCACCATGTATGCCAAGTGCATTATTTAATGTAATCTTTAGAACTGCATTCTGAGGCAGGAGCTCTTTGTAATCATTGACTAGCAGGTCAAGGAACCTGCCCAGGGCTGGAGGCAGCAGCTCACGTCACTACGCTCGCAGGACAGCCCGGCGGGGGCCCGGCGGGGGCCCAGCGGGGACGGGGCAGCACGTTGGCCATGACGGCGCTGGAGCCAGGCCCAGCCCTGGGGTGGACCCGTGGGCGGGTGACCCAGGTCAGGGCTCACGGCAGGAGCAGCGACCAGGCCACAGGGAGTGTTCGGGGACAAGGAAATGCTTTCTGTGACCCGTTTGGAGTTGGCTCCAAATTTGCCTGCAAAGCCGTCTGGCTCTTTGAAGAGAAATAAGATCACTTAAGATTTCTGTAACTTCTTTTCTAACAGAAAAAGAAAATAAACACAGTTATTATTGCTAGCAGTCACAGGAATGTGAGGCCAGCCCGGTGAAGCATTTGAAGTTTGCTCGAGCAGAGGAAGCCTGTTAAACATGGAGAATTCCTTTTTTTTTTAAAGCACTTGCTGAATTTCAGACACCCACAATGTGTGTTTGCTGAACATCCGGTATAATTCAATGACGGCTTCGCGGAGGCCACCTGCCAGGCCCGGGCACCCCCGGGAGGCGGAATCCCTCAGCCGCCCCGCGGCCAGGGGCTCCTCACACTCCTGGGGACGGCAGGGGGCAGACTGATCTGCGTGTCCTCAACCTCTCTCGGGAGTCCCTTCCCTATCCCCATTCATTCGTTCACTCACTCATTCATTCATTCACTCGTTCCACAGACAGCCCGTGAGTGCTCACTGCGGTCCGCAGGACAGAGGTGGTCCCTGGCTTTGGGGAGACCACATCCCGGCGGCTCTTCCATTCCAATAAAGCCATTCCCATGGGCACAGCCATCCCTCCCCAGCCTGCACTGTTCCCTTTATGCAATTAAGCCTTAGAATTTGAATCTATCTAAAAAAGAAGCAGCTGCACATTATTAGAGATTTTTTTTAAAGATAAAAAGTATTCAAACCTCCAAAGAAAAGAATATCCATCTCCCTGTATCCTCACCAGCCAGCATGAAATGCTGTAACCATTTTAGGAAAGAAATCTGCAACATTGCATTGCATATTCAGACTAGAAAAACCCATATTCTATTTTTTTTAAATTTCAGAATATTATGGGGCTACAAATATGTTGGTTACGTATAATGCTTTCGCCTCAGCCAAGCCAGAGCTACAAGCGTGCCCTTCCCCCATGTAGTGCGCTCCGCACCCATTAGTTGTGAGTTTACCCACCCCCACCCCCTCCCACGTGACCAGCACCCGATGAATATTACTTCCACGTGAGCACCTTAGTGTTGCTCAGTTAGTGCCAATTTGATGGCCAGTTCATGTGGTGCTTGCAAAATTCCCGTATTCTTTGACTCATCGATTCCGCTTTCAGGTCTCTATTCTACAGAATAAAAGCATTAGCATGTAAACACGGGAGTACAGAGATTTTTATTTTCAGAATTAAAATGGCAAAAAGGTAATCAACCTGCATGTTCGTCGACAGGGCCAGAGTTGAACAGATTATTCTAAGTCCCACTGTGGAGGTTTATGCGTCTACTAAAGGAGGTGGGTTAGGGTACCCTCATTCACCTGGGAAGATGCCCGTGATCTAGTGAAACAGAACGTGTTGGCGAGCAGCACGCACAGCAGGACCACGTTTTTGTGCAAGGAATGGCGGCAGCCGTCTGCGCACTGAGCAAAGACAAACCCTGGAAGGAGGCGTCTCAGGCCGTGAACATTGCTTGCCCCAGAGGAAGGACGAGGGCGGGGTTTGGGGGTGTTCTGAGCGATTTCAGTACACAGATCTCTCTCTTTTTTTAACTTCTTACAACAGACATATGTTACTTTCAAAGTGAAAAAAGAAAAGAAAAGAAAGCCCAGTAATGCAGCAAAAGTGAGTCACAACAGTAACGAGACGGAAAAAGACCCAAAACAGAAGCCGCTAGTGGGGCATCTCCGTCCCCGCCGGGGCGCCGTCGTGCCCACGCGAGCTGTGCTGGGCCGGGGAGCACAGGGTTAGGCCCCGTGGGCCGCACGCTCCCGGCCGGCCCCGGAGCGGCCCTGTGTGAACGCACATGTGGACACGGAACGCTACCGAGGGCAGGGGCTGGGCTCTGGCGACGTTGGAATTGGAATTGGAGGTCGTTTTTATGTGTCACAAATGCTATTCTTTAAAAAATTTTTTCAGCCTTTTAAAAATGAGGCCCGGGCCACTCATGTTAGGAAATCAGAATCGGCCCATTTAACTTTAGAAAACCGCAGCCCTCGCATCCCGGCACGGACGGCGGAAACCAGCAGGAAACGCTCACTTAGGGAAAACAAGCGCCTCACAAGGCCAAGACAGGCAGGAAGGGAAGACAGGCTGGGTGTCGTGTGCCCTGCATGTCCCTCCTCGCAATGCGGACGTGAAGCTTAAGAAAAAGTGAAACCATTCTTCCCTGGCACC